GGGGGGGGGGCAGAAATACCGCTCGGAACTCGTACGCGCTCTAAAGACGGATTATTTCTGGTAACAAGTGGCCAGCGAGGACAACAATATACGTTCAAGGCAACAAAGGCCGTTGCCCGAACAAAAAAAAAAAACAAAACCACAACACCACCTGACAAAACCACCAAAACAGGGGGGGGTGGCGGGGGGGGGGGGTAGGGGGGGGGGAGGAAGGGGGAGGGGGGGGATAACAAATGACTGGTAACTCAACCACAGTTCATAACCCAATAAACTCAGTACAAATAGAATCCACCCTTATTCCGCGCACAATATAAGACAACCTACATCGGAGCAAATGAATCGGAACAACTTCCTACTTGGCAACTGAGACTAAGGACAAACACATGGAGGAAAACTTGTGTGCATTAACACCTATTTATAAAGGGAGACTGCACTAACCCTAGTACAGATGAATAGATTGAGAGATGGGGAATACGCGTATTATCTTTCATCAAAAACAAGGCGGGAAGGCATACGATCCAAACGAGAATAAATCAGGAAACTTTAGCCACTACAAAAGAACAGCATTAAATCATATAAAAAACATAAGAAACTCCCATACAAACAAAACATGTAGAGGGAGCGGGGGGGGGGGACAGACAATTTTATCATAAAGAACAAGCTACCAACCTCAAAAATTATAAATTTACATTCCCTAAAAAAACACAAAAACAAATACCCGAAGTTACTAATAAATGAGCTAAACATCACTTGCCAACACTAGGTGCTTAAATAAAATAAACCATGTGATTCATTTTACCTAACAAGAACGAAACACAAACCACAAGGCCAGAGACCAACAGACACAGCGCATTTAAACTTTTCCCTATCAAACGTGCAATAAATGTGCATGTTAGCCTACCGCCACTCACAATCAAAGCAATTAAAACCTGACCCGCCATCAATCACCTAGGTATTAAGCTTACAGTCTGAGTTAACAAAAACACATATATTCCGCCCTTAACCTATACAATACAATATTGTACTATGTTTTCTTCATAATGCAAAACACGGGCCTTGTAAAAACAATCCTTTTAATGTGAACTTGCATACACCCCACAAAAGTACTCTAACTCCACACAAGCCATCCTTCTGCATTCTACGACCACTACCTCACAAATTGAAGAACAACACCTCCACCAATAGTTCCCAAATCCACACCAAATGTTCCAACCCAAAACAAAAAAAATTCCACTCGGGCAAATACACCTAACCAAAACAAACAGAGCACCTCTCAAAGGGGGGGGGGAGGCGGGAGAAAACACAAAAAACCTTAAACACTTTAATAGCAACCAACAATAGAAAAGAAAACAAAAAAAACCACGTCAAACAATATATCTTTTCTTTATTATGGCATAAAAAACTAAGCTGATCAAAATAGAGAGTTCAAGCATAAACAACACATATAATCGTCATCCCAGTAACAAGCATACCCAATAGTTAAAAGTCTCATAGCTAGCAACAAACCAAAAACAAACTGGATCGGAAGAAATAAGAGAGGATTTTAAACGTGCGTTAACACCAGACGTTACAAACCCATCCTTTAGACACCCTAGTTTTGTAGCACAAAAAAATCAAATTCTGAAGGGTTTATTTGAGAGTGGTTGCCGATATTTTGGGTATCTGGAAAATTCTTAGCCTCTGATTTTCAACCTAGGGCGGTAGCCGCTGTTCTTTCAAATTTGATTGGATCGAACAAGGGGGGGGCGGGGCGGGGGAGGGGGCGGTGGGGGTGGGGCGGGGATGAGGGCGGCGCGGGAGGGGAGAGGAGAGAGCGTGAGGGCGAGGGGGGGCGGGGGGTGGTCTATCCAAATCAAAGGAGACAAGATTTGGTTTTTACAAGCCCCTGCCACTTCTAAATACCAACCACTATGCCAGTGTACCCAAACTCCATTTACTGGAAATGGCAGCAAACCTACATGGTCTGCAGACAGCTCAATGAACAACACAGTTGGCTGGCCACCTGCCGCGTTGTGTCGTCTGAAGAATCAATGTTCACTTATAAACTAGGTCACTTACATAAATAATTATGCTACTTCCGGAAAACAACTCAAGAAGTCTCTGGCCTTCTTGAGCGCGCGCGCTCCGACATGTCCCCAGTCTTTGTTTCAACTCAGTTCTATGGTCATATTTGACTTGCCCCTTGGACTTCAAGCTAAAAAGCACAACTCGAAATCGAACACCGCATATCCCCCCGAAACTACACAAGCAAAAAAAGGGGGGGGGAAAACACACACACCACAAGAACCATCCACAACCTCCAAGTCACCAAATAACTTCAACTCCATGACTTAAGCCATACCTCCCTCTCTAAATAGTCCCATCCACACTCCACAGCTCTTCTCCTTATTCTCTCACACCTCTGCGAGGTGGCGGGGGGGCGGGAGAGGAGGGGGGGTCATTTCTTGGTTACCCAGAAAGGAGAAGGCTTGGGTTGCAGCAGTTCATTTCTAGATGTCATTCAACCCCAAGAAGCCCCCCGCGCCTGAGAAACTTTGCCCACCACTTGTTAATGGGGGGGGTGGGGGGGGGGGGGGGGGGTCGCTCCGTGTCAGGCTGCTAGGATCTGCGACTTCTGTGCCCTGCAGCACTTTCTCAACCAGACTGACCAACTGCACTATTCCGCCTCATTCTGCCTGGTCTTCGTCTCCACGCTAGAAAGCCCCAGATGGGTTTGGGCTTGTCTTCACCGGTGGGATATTTAGCCACATATAGATGTGGTGGGCCCTTGGGTGCCATCCTCATGTGTCTTACCAACCTCTTCACCCACCTGAACAACAGACGTCATACTAAATATCACACAACCAGAGGTTCTAATCTTCAGCGAGTTGGCTTCCCCTATTAAACTAGCTTACCGCTAATGCCATAATCTCATACCATCCAACATACGCTTCCCACCAATAAACCAAGAATCCTAGAAAAATCAACATCCTCCCCTTACACAACAAAAATCACCTGAAAGTCCTGGCGCATAGGCACAACACCTTACCCCATCTATAAATAGCTAACCACAAGCACCGAAAACAGCTACTTTATCTTCCTTTCTCAACTAACAGGTCTCACTTGCTACTGAAAGAACATCGATTCATATTGTTAATAATCTGTCCACAAGATACCCCTACAAGCGGCCTGAAGACACTTGCCCACCCAACCTCAACCACGTAGGTCTCAGTACCGCGGATATGGGGGCTGGGCGAACTTGTCCACGCAGCTGGGGCCGACATGACAATCGGTACCAGGACGAGGGGGTGGCGAGACCGGACCACGAGTCCGAGCGCCTCTTCATCCTGGCTGTCGTCTGTCCGCGAGAGAAAGCCCCAGATTATAACTTTTCTCGGCCGGGGGTGATTATTATGCCTATAGAAGAGTGGGAATCCCTTGGGGGTGGGGGGGCATCTTTGCTACAGGGGGTTCTAATCCATTTGTCTCTATCTCACATCTGAACAACGTATAGACTAAAACACCAAACTATGGTTCCTACTTAAACACATCACTCAACTTGCTCGCTTCACTCACCTGTAGTGGGCGCCCATAAGTGGCTAGCTCCAAAAGGTAGTGGCTACTTGCCTCTCACCTGGACAGCCCTCTAATACTAACTAGACCAACCTACCAACAGATGGGTTCTTATATAACATCACCTATCTACATCTACGGATGTCCCATTGCTCCTCAGTTGTGCCTCTGCTTCACTAAATAAGGCCCACGAAGCGGAATAGGCCCAGACACCCAATTGCCCCACGGTGCACCCACCTATAATAGCGTATGGAGTATAACCGCGTCGTTAAGCCTTCCATCTTGCGGTCAGGCTTTCCTACCCCCATAAGGATTATACGCCTGTACTACCCACATTCCATCCTAGCGTCTGGACTGAGGGTCACCTCAAACACCCACCCACGAGCGGGCAACCGGACCAAAACCTGTCCCTAGCGAGAGTGAAAGTGTTAGGACTTTCATCATAGTGTCATTGCTACTATGGCTTATAACAATACTCTCTTCTACAATCCTACGCACAGCACAAATGGGGTGGGGGGGGGGGGGGGGGAAAGGGGGGCGGACAGGCCCCACAATCAAAACAACAACATGCGCGCACCTGGGTTTTCTCACCCAAGGTGCAGACAGACGACAGCAACGCGCGCGGGACCACAAACAGGAGGGGGGGGGGGGGGGGGGAGGGGGGGGGGGGGATCACACCCGATGATCAAAACCACCAACACAACCCAGGCTTGTCACCTCAAAAGGGAAGGGAAACGCTTTAATCAGGCCATCATCAGGTCCCTTACTCCCATTCTCCACAACTAAAGAACACTTCCTTTCTGCCTTGTTCGCTGGGGGTGGAGTTTCTCCTTAATCACTCGATAAGAATACAACCGGAGGGGGCGACTTGACCAACGCTACGCACAATAAAAAAACTGGCCAAGTGCCTGTTACCCACTCTCACACCCCCCACGACCCAAACACCTTGCCTCTCATACACGCGCACCAGCCTGAAAGGACTGGCCTGAGGCCTGCACCCGGGGACCTAAAATCTGTAAAGCGCACATACCTAAACATACATCCAAGCGCTAGCACCTGATTACCAGGTCGGTACCCCCATCATACAGTACGACTCAACGGCAGGCGCCCAGCGGACGTGACGTCGGTCACAGCCCAAGCACACCCACACAAGACTCTCTCGAAAGCGCCAACGAGCGCCCGCCGACCCCACACAGCTGTCCCTCCTCTCTCCCGCTGCTACCCGGTAAAAGAGCCGACAGCCCAAAGCGAGCTAGGTGGGGTGGTGGGGGTTTACACAAAACACTTTTTTCCACACGTACCCCCCAATAATCCAAGCCCAGAAGTATGCTGCTCATCACCAAGCCCCTAAAACAGAACCGGACGCGCGCGAGCCTCAGTCCACAGTGTTGGTGAACGAGGGCCTACGGGCAGCCCAACGAAAAGCGCACGCAAAGCCAAACCCTCCCCTAAAGCACGTGCCACCCAGAAAAAGGGCCCAGGGCCTCCGCCCCCCCCCCCGGGACCCCCCCACTAGGGCCCAACCACTTCCCCGCTTCCCCGAGGAGACCCCCCCTCAGCCCCCACGTGGCCCACAGTCCAAACGCCCACCACACCTACCCCCGTGTAAGGGGTCTGACCTTTGGCTCAGGCTTCCACAGCGGAAACAAGCCAGCCCCGAGAAAAGGTCAGGGCGGGGGACCTGGGGCCGTCAACTAGGCCCAGCCTATCCCTTACCCAGGGGGCCCCCCCCACTGCAAAAAGGGTGAGGGGACTAGGCTGGGGGGGGGACCAAAATACCCCCTCAACTCTAGTCCCTCATGTTTGGGTGAACGGTCAAGGCTCGTCTTTCAACCTAAGCGCAGCACCACAGGGGGGGGGACGGGGGGGGGGGAGGGCGGCATATAAACCTCCCTCAACGTGGCGCGGCCCCTGGGGGGCCCCACACTGAGAAAAAGGCCCCGCACCCCCACACCCATTCCCCAAGGCCGAAAGGGGGGGGGGGGTGGGGGGGGGGGGGGGGGGGGGAACACATAGGCCAAGCCCTCTTCGCACAAGACGCCCCCCACATTAAAATCTTAATACGTCTACATTCGAACACCCCACTCTCATCACATAATCTGGTGAGCTGGGGCCCCTCGCTCGCGCCCCTAATTAGCGCGAGCACAACCCTACCCTCCCCAAATCATAAATACAACATTCACACGGCTAAAACACCCGGACACAGGGCCTAGGGCGCACAGGCCCAAACCCGATCTTCACCCACAGGGCCCCCACAGCAAAAAGCGGCTGGCCGCTCGGGGGCCCCCTACGAGAGGTATCAAAAAAAAAAAACACATGTTAGAAACAGGGTTTGGGCTCAGGGGGGGGGGGGGGGGGGGAAAAACAAAACAGCAATTTTTATTTTCTTTTTTTTTTATAACTTTTTTTTTGATAAAAAACAAAAAATATCTAACCAGGAACAGCCGCGTCCTGTCAACACGCCCACCCAGAAAAGGGCCCCAGGCCAAAGCAGCTACCCAGCCCTCTGTCAAGGGCCCACCCCCCTGCAATAAAGCGATGCGCACGTCGCTAGAACACACACCCCTCCATTATCCGGGGGGGGGGAATGTGGTGTGTGTAAAATCACATGATGGGAGTCAGGGCTCGCTTCCACGTAAGTGCACACAACCAACGTTCCCATCAACATAAGCGGGCCAAAACAACCCAGAGAAACTGCCCAGGCCTAGTACTATAACAGCGAGACTCTAGAACCCCATTTAATTACACCCCAGCGGCCCCCCTAAGTCTAGCCGGGGATCCTCACCCATCGATGGACAAAACTACTGTGCAACGATATATACACACCAAACATATAATAAAAACACACGGTCCCGCCCCTTCACACCACCTATTCCTTCACCCACTCCATCCCAATACTCCTGTGCTTCCCTTACCACCTGTTTCACTCAACCCACGACTGTAATCGGAACTGCGGTTCCGCGACTCCGGAACCTCGTATACACAAGAATAAGCTAGTCAGGGAACTCTGCTCGCAGTTTCTCTACTCGGCCCCCTTCCTTTCACTAACAAACCCATATACTCCCCCTCCAACAAGGCGAGAGACACCGAGAAAACGCTCGTGGCCTCTCACAGGGAGGTCAACACGGCATTCTCTACGAACGCGGGCGTAGTACGGGATAGGTAGACCCATAACTCGGCCCCCCCCCCACCCCCACCTTCAAGGACAGGACAGGGTTTACCTCTCCCTAATTACATTCAAAAAAAAAAAGTGGCGGGAGTGCGTGCATGCTGACCAGCTCGTACCTCGTCTGGCTGCATGCCAAGCGACTGACTGTATTCCGCCATAACAAGACCCCCCCCAAATACCCCCTCCTCCGTTGGGGGGTTATCCTCCCCTGACCACCGTCAATCCCGGGAACCCAGGAGGTCCTACCGTGGACCTTACCCCACGCCCTTTACTCAACGGAGGGGGGGGGGGGGAAAACCACAACAAAAAAAACCAAAAATAAATCCCTTGCACGAGGGCAGGGACACAAGCATTTCCTACCGATATCCCCACGACCACTCGGACTACTCCCTAGCCCACAACTTCACCCCGCACCTTCTCCAAAGGGTGTGGGTTAACGCCTACAGAACACGCTCTTCCTCAGGCCTCATACACTGACCTATAACAAACAACGCAATAGAATGATATACCCGGACACCCTTCCTTCACCGAGGAATGCGCAATGAACAAACTTCAGATGTTCAACAAAACTCCACCTGCCTCCCAACCAAGGTTATCAGTGATCAATAAGGGACAAAGAGCACCCTTGCCCTGGCAGGAGATCTCTATCAGGGATCTGGGCTATGAATTCCACCCAGGAGCATGACGGCTGCAGCATCTCAGACCAGGAAGAGAAAGCCTGAGCGGTTCACCATAAAAACCGCCTGAGATCGTAACGAGCGTAAAAACCACGGAGCAACCGCGCAGATCACAGATCACCTTGCATATGGCACGCTCCCATCAGAGGGGAGCCAGTTCGTGAACTGGAGGTTGCAGCGCAACAAGCGTATCTCCCAAATGTGTTCTCAATCCCACACCTATTTCCCAAGGCGGCTTATCACGGAGAGCGAGCGGTTCGTTAGGTGCTCAGAACAACGTCGCCTTCTGGCTTCCCACCTACCACATCCGAACACCACAGGAGGTGAGTATCAAAATCACGGTGATGAGGCACCACCACAACCTCCAGGTACTTCAACAAACAACAAACACCCGCGGCACATGATGGAGCTCTCGCACCACGAACTCACATACGAAACAAGAGCGTTTGGTTCCTCCTACCACCTTGGCACATCAACCTCCTATATGAGGAATTGGGCGGTTTTCTGCTTCCATTATCGAACCAAAACTGGAGGCCAACAGTATTGTTCGGAACGTCAACACCACTTACGGGGCAAACATATCCTGAACAGGCATGGGGTGAACCATCCCCCACCCTTCACAGCTGCAGTGAAGAGGTTCGTCTGTTGCACGCACAATATCCATACACCTTAGCCTCCGAGCGAGCGGCTCCTCTCATTAAGGCCTTCCAGCAAGACCCGTAACTGCCCCACAAGATGTCCCCCGGGGGGGGGTCCAACCAGCAGGGCAGCCCTTGCGGGCAACCGCAGTTGGGCTCGGCCCCATCTTCTACGACGGAGGGGAGGGGAAGCTACTCGGGGGGGGGGGGAACGTTCGAAGACACGTCCCCGCACTTTATCTCACAAATGCAAAACACGGGGGGCCCGTGTGACCGCGAACAGGTCCGGTCTCAATCAAGCAACTCAAGCCACAACAACGAACCCCCACCTCTCGGTGACCCTGTGTGCGCGACCGTCGTACCCAAAAAAACACGAAACGGCGTCGCCCTCTAGCCCTTCCCCCTCCCGCCGGCCTAACTTCAACCCCTCTGTACAGTAGAGACAGAGGAGTACTGCCATCCTGGTTGGGGCTACCGACAGACCGCAAGCCAGGTGCATTAACGACGACCTGGTAACATAGCTGCTCGGTATCCCCGCCTGGGCCCCTTCCCGAACCGGATTCCGGATACACTCTGAACAACTGGGACCCTTTTACTAAACCCCCTTCCTTAGACAGCTCCATTTAGGAGGCCTGATACTCTCATCCTCACCTGCAACCTGGTCGCAACTATTCAGGGGAGATGGCTACCTACCCACCCACCAAAAGCCAAATGTAGGTTTACGACTGGAAAACACTCAAATGAACGCCACTCATATGGTGCTGGCACAGATTTTGCC